TACATGAGGGTAGTACAGTCACTACCCTCGTGTGAAAGTTAGCATCCATAAAGTAAACCTAATTTTAAAAAATACATCCGACTGGCTAATTAATAGATTAATATACTAAAAACATGGAAAATAAATTTTTGAAATAAAAAAGATTACAGCATAGACATAGAAAGAGATAGATTGTGTGAAAGGTGACATGAAGAAGGGAGTGATGACAAGGTGGGGTGATGAATTAGACGCGGGCGAAGTCGCGAGCGACAGCTAGTACCTGTATGATGCACTCCATGAGGTATTCCTGCGCAATGGCGTCCCTGCAGCTGACCACCTGCTCCAGGATACCGGGCAGCACCAGCAGCCCGTACTCCTCAACACTGACCGACTCCAGTTGCGAGAGCCGCACCAGGTTCGTGCCCACGAGGATACGTAGCTCGGAGCGCTCGCGTTCACGACGTTCCTTATCCCTTATATGTTTCAAATCGTTAGAAACTGCTAACTTATAGTAGAAAATAAGATTTAGGGCCTTTCCCACCGCTAGCTGATAGAGGCTCAGATAGCTTAAAAATTACATCAGATATTTCCATCACATATTTTAAAAACCACCTTTTCTTAGAATCGCCGTGTCATATAACTAGCAATCCTAACCCATAGACAAAATTTAAATTAAAAATAAAAAACTGATTATTCCGTTCAAAGGACAAATTTCGGATGAAACTTATTTTTTTGAAATTGGTCTACTAGTTAATTTTGTCAATTAGTTAATTAAAATAGTAAGTGACCAATAGGAATATAAAAAAAATATAAAACAAGCTTCAAAACTTACCTGGAGTGCCCCTGATGTTGCATCCGCACCCAGAGTTTGTTCATTTCAGCGAAATTCATCAGAACAAAATCGATGGCGTCACGAACCTTAAAAAGAAAAAAAATATTAACGTAGTCTTATATCACGTAAAAAATACAGACATAGAACTTCAAAATTTCGATACAATTGATTAAAATTTTAAACTAACAGCAGAATAACCATAAAAAAATAAACATAAAATTGCAGTCAATAGAATAACTTATAACATGACTGTAAAAATAAACTTGACAGACAAATGGATAGTAAGGGCCAGTCTCAAAAAATTATAGATTGCCTGATAACAATCAAACATGTAAAATATGTGATGGAAATATCGGATTTTGTTCCCAGACAGTGA